TCACTGTTGATGTTCGAGCGTTGATGTTCCTCCACCTTCACCAACGAGAGGGGAGAAGTGATCATGGGCCGCTCACCGCTGCTTCCCCCATCCAGGATTTTTCCGGCATCGCCGTGAGCCAAATCTCCCGTCAATCCTTTGCTCAGAAGGGTCACGCCGCCGGCTTGAAGGCTGAGCGGCATCCGTCGAGCGCCGCCGTCGTGATCCCGGGCGTGGGAAGAGTTACGGAATTTCTTAGTGAAGGGTCGTCCGCCTTGGATGTAGCTACGGTAAGCGCCGGCTTTTTGGGGTCGATGTCGGATCCATTCGCTGAGGGTCTCGATAGGCGAACCGTTAACGCACCATTCGGTGACGCCGAATTGCCGGAGATGCGCCCGCGCGTGGCTGGCCAAGGCTTTGCGGTTTTCGAAGTAGAGGCCGCACAGCTCGCAGCAGGCTTCGCTGGCTGACGGGGGGGAAAACGCGCCAGGGGTGAGCGGGCGAAGGCAGGGCCGCGGCACGGGGCCGGTTTCCCCCGAAAACCGGTGCCGCCGTGCTTTCAGTCCTCCGTGGGATTGAAATTCCCCGTGTTTTCCAGCTCTGGAAAGCGTCCCCCAGCGCCGCTGGGGGTTTGGTACGGGGGGGAAAACTCCACGGAGCCAAGCTAATTTGGATCAGGGGAAGCAACGACCCCAAATCTCCGCTCCCCTCTCCCTCCTCCGCACCCCCACGAGCCAAACCCCCTTTTTTTCGGGGTGGGGATTCCCAGTGCCCACCTCACCGCGCGACGGAAATTCCGGCGAGGTGGGGCTACACCGCGCTTTTCCCCCCGCTCCGCCTTTATCCCGCCATCCCCTACTCACACGTGTGGGCGGGTTTGTCGTGCACGGACTTGGTTTTGAAGGGCAGCTCGGTCTGGATGTAGGCCTTGTGCTTGACTTCGGCGTGAGGACCCAAGCGATCGTCCTGCAACGGTCGTTTGGCGGACAACGGCGTCAGGAAACTGCCCTGGGGTTTGCTGGTGAGAGGCGACAAGGAGATCTCCCGGTTCAAGGTGGAAGCGCCGGGGCTGGGTTTCCCCGTCCGCCCGCCCAGGGGAGGCAGAGCCATGCCCTGGAGGATTTTTCCGGGAGATTTGGGATCCGTTCCTTCCTCCCCGATGGATTTAGGGGGTTCGATGCTGGAGGTGTGCGGTTCCTTCTTGATAACGCAAGGTTTGGATTTCTTCTTGAGGATCTCCCGTAGCGTGTCGATGGGCGAACCGTTGACCGACCACTCGGTCACCCCCATTTGTCGGAGGTGAGATCGAGCGTGGCTGGACAAACCTTTGCGGTTCTCGAAATATTCGCCGCAAAATTCGCAGCGGATATCTCGCACCGGCTCCGACCCCGAGGCTGCGGAGAGAAAAAAAGAAAGACCGGCGTTGCTCAAGGGACGGACAGGACAGACGGACGCAGCCCGCGGCGGCAAAGCCTGCAATGGGAAGCAGGCTCGAAGGCATTGGGGTATCCCAGGAAAACGCAACGGGCGGGGGCTGCGGGGAGCTGGAGGGTTTCCCGGCCGAGCCGACGGCAGAGCCGCGATCCGGAGCACCGGGATAACGCGGACGCTCGTGTCCCTTCCCCGCTCGTGTCCCCGGGAAGCGGCGAATCACGCCGGCGCCGCAGCATCCGAGCCCAGCCGCTGCGGGGGGGAGGAAGGGCTCAGGATGAAGCCGCGCTCCCGGCCAGCGCGGTGCCGGTGGCACCAGGACAAACACCGCGTGCCTAAACCCAGCGCATCCCCACTAATCCCATCTCCTGCCTCCGGGAAGCGCCAATTCCCAGCACGTTGATGAAGAAGAGGAGGAAGACGAAGCGGGAAGAGGTTTTATCACCAAAACCAAGCCGCAACCTGAACCACGCGATAACCCGGCGGAGAAACGCCACTTCACAGGTCCCTGTCCACCCTCCGGCTCCGGAGGGGAAGGGAAAAACCATCGGCGCTGCGGCGGGATGGGGAAATCGAGGCAGATCCCTGCCCGGAACCGGGGCAAAAACCACGCCAGCAGCTTGGACCCGCACGGCAAGGGAGACTCCAGCAGGATAATTTCAGGAGGGGAGATCGGTGCTCCTGGGCACCGTGCTGCCGTCCCCGCCGGCGGAAAGAGCTCACCGGGATGGTAATTTCTAACCCGAGCTGGGATTTTGGGCGCCACCGAAGCGATGAGAGGGAACGGAGGCATCGCAGCAGCCGAAACCCTGCTCACGGCGCAGACCGGCCCTGGCCGACACGGCCACGGCTTCGATTCCTTGGCCGGCGAAGGGGAACGAGGAGATCGGCTGATTCCTTGTGCCGCGGCTTGGGATCTGTTGGCCGCAGCAGCTTGCCGGGGACTTGGCTCAACGCCAAGCGGAGCGGCCAGCCGAGAGGTCGTCTGCTCCTCCGGCTTCGTTAGCAGGCAGCCCTAACGAAGAGGAATTACGGCGCTGGCTACGAGACGGGCATAAAGCGCTTTTCCGTTGCTGGTCCAAGTTTTTAAAGGGCTGCGAGGACGAGCCAGGGCCAAACTCTGCATCTTCTGTCACCGGCGGAGGAGCAGCGTCCCCGGAGAGCATCTCTGCTCCGGCAAACCCCCAGGTGCATCCTCCAGCTACAGAGTCTGTCCCGGCAGCGGCCAGCAGCCGGCTCTGCCGTCCTGGAGCTTTCCAGCTTGGGAAAAGCAAAACGGTAGCCGGGATGGAACAATTTTATAGCCCTATGGCTCCAAGAAGCCTCACAGGGTTAGGAAATCCCCAGCCGCAGGGATTTTGAGGGATAACAGGTCTCCGAGCTGCTCCTGTGGCGAGGGAAGGAGGGGATAGAGCAAATATTAGGACCCCAAACATGCCGTGATTCCCACCGGGAAAGATGAAACGCCTGTTGGCGCTGCCAGCGGTGGGACGGGCTCACTGGGCAAGCCCGGTAACGAGGACGAAGAACGAACGAGCCAGAGAAGCCAAACAGCCCGTTGAGCCGTTGATGAAGATGTTGCCGGCAAGATGCGGTGCTCTGGGAGAAGGTGGCAAGAGCCAGGAAAACCATTTTGGTCCCAAGGTATCGGAATAAGTCACCGATGGAGCTTGGGGACGAAGAGGGACACGGCAGCGCCAGGGCTGGGGTCCCAAAAGCCGCAGCAGCACCTCTCCGAGCGCATCCGACGCTGGAAATGGTAGCGGGGAACGGGCTGATGCCGGCCAAACGCACCGCGCTCTGTTGGGATAGGGGAGCTGGCTGTGCCGGATCGAGCCACGGCGCGGGAGGGAGCTCCACGGCAGCCGAACCGCGGCATAGAGGAGCCGAGGGAGGTGAGAAAAGCATGGAAAAGAGAGATAAAGAGCTCAGAGGGCAGAGAGCCAGCAGTTTTCCTGAAATCCCGACGGGAATGCCCGTTTGCCCAGTCAGGAAAGACTCCGATAGTCGTGACCGAGCAGCACGTATCTCCCCGGCACGGCAGTTACCAAACACCGGCTCCTCCACCGAGCTCTGCGCCCTCCCAGCCACCGAGGGACGCCCGGCTTGGCAGGAGCAGGACGGGAAAAGCCGGGAATTTCCCCCGCCCTCAGCCGAACGGGAAACACCGGTCAAAAAAAAAAGAAACTCACTTAAATTGAGGGGTCCTTCCTCATCCGCCTGCGGCCACTGTGCTTTTGGGGAGCTCTGCAGAGGGCTCAGCGAGAGCTTGGAGCTCTTCTCCTCGGGGTTTTTCGGAGACGGGGACCCCGAAAGAGCGGGCGGCACCTTCTTAAGGATGGGGGATCCTGGTTGGGAGAGGTTTTTTGAGAAGCCGGGAGGGGATTTGATAGCTTTATTAACGGGACCGTCCGCCAGGCGATCGCCGGCCTTGCCGAGCGCCAGGAGCGTGGGTCGAGGGGAACCGGCGGTGGCGTCTTTGGGGGAACCGGATTTTTTGCCGAGGGCGGGAGACATGGGGCTGCCGTCGGGTTTGCCTTTTTGTTTCATCAGTTCGTAAAGCAAATCGATGGGAGCCCCGCTGCTCTCCGATTCGGCTACGCCGAGCTGTCGTAGGTGAGAACGGGCGTGGCTGGATAAGCCTTTGCGGGTTTCGAAGCAGGCGCCGCACACTTCGCACGTCGTAAGGTTCTGGGCTAAAAAGAGAAAGAAAAAAAGAGAAAGAGAAAGAAAAAAGAAAATCAGGGCACAGCCGTGGCAGGAGGCACAAGGAGCAGCGTCCGGGAGTCGTTTCTCCCCTCTGAGGGACTTTTACCACCGCCAACCCTAATTTTGAACGTTAAAATGCTCCGCGTGTCCCTGCACGGGCAGGAATAAAGCGGGGAAGCGCGAGCAGAGCTGTGGAAGGGCAAGGATCGCTGCTCTGGGGCGGGAGGAGGCCGGTTTTCCCGCTCGAGGATGTTTTCCAGAGTGTTTTTGGAAGCCTTGCCCACGGTTCGGTGAGCCGCGGGGAGGCTCCGAAGCCCAGCCAGCGAGGGAGAGGGATCTCAAAGCGATTGTTTTAGGGGAACGTCGTTAATTAGGAGAGGAAGGACTGATTAAGGTGGTTTACGGAGGACAGAGAGTGCACGTCGGTCCCGGCGAGCTTTGTAAAGCTGCTGGCGCCGGGGAAAAAAACGCGACGTAAACTAGCGATACCAGAGTACCACACGGCCACCCTCTTAATTAGAGGATTAATTAAGCAAAAGGACCTGAAAATCCTCCCGGATCGGGTTAAACAAACACCTGCCAGGCTCCCCGCTCTCTCCTCGCAGCAAAAACCCGGCGCTCGGCTGTCGGAGACGACGAGAAGCCAGGTAAAATACTCACCTTTGGAGTCCTGAGGCTCTGGTTTGCTCCCGGGCGGCTCAGGAGACAGTTTGGTCCCTATCCTGGTGGGGGGTTGATCCAGCTGCCCGGCGGGAGCACTTTTTTTCGGGAGAGGAGGTGAACCCACCTCCATGGCCACCAGTTCTTCCTCTTCCGGAGCCAGGACTGCCAAGAGAAGGAGATCGTTAGCCCCCGAGGGCAGATAACAGGAGGAGGGAGGTCGAGGCGAGGAGGTGGCTTCGTTTAGTGAAGGTTTGAGCTGCTCGAGAGGGAGAAGCGACACCATCGCCGCAGAAAACGGGGCTCTGCAGGGGGCTGGCGGGTGCTTTTAGAGGGGGACACCCGTCCCGGTGGCAGGTGACGCATGGCTGGGACGGCGGTGACCTGCCAGCGGGATTTGGGGATGCTTGGGGACGGTGGGAGGAGGGAAACGGTGGCAGCTCCCTCCAAGGGGACGGTGGCAGCTCTGTGAGTGTGTGGGAACACGCAGGAAGGTGGCAGCTCCCTTGGGGGGGGGGGAACGTAAAAGTGGCATCTCTCTGCGGTGGGATGGATGGAGGCAGCTCCCTGGGGACGGGATGGGGACAGTGGCAGCTCCCTGGTGGGGTGCGATGACAGGGACGGTGGCAGCTCCCTGCTGGGAAGCGGACAGAGGTGGTGGCAGCTCCCTGCAGGGAAGGGGGGACACGAAGGTGGCATCTCCCTTTGGGGAGGAGGATGGGGATGGCAGCAGCTCCCTGTGGGGAAGGGGACACTAATGGTGGCAGCTCCCTGCCATGGAGGAGACAGGGATGGTGGCAGCTCCCTGCTGGAAATGGGGGACACGAAGGTGGCATCTCCCTTTGGGGAGAACGGGGATGGTGGCAGCTCCCTGCAGGGGGGAGGATGGGGAAAGTGCCAGCTCCCTGTGGGGAAGGGGACAGGGATGGTGGCAGCTCCCCGTGGGGAAGGGGACACGGATGGTGGCAGCTCCCTGCCAGGGAGGAGATGGGGATGGTGGCAGCTTTCCACAGAGGGGAGGATGGGGGTGGTGGTGGCAGCTCCCTGCAGGGAAAGGGATAGGGAAGGTGGCAGCTCCCTGCAGAGGGGAGGACGGGGATGGTGGCAGCTCCTTGTGGGGAAAGGGGACACAGACGGCGGCAGCTCCCTGCGGGGGGGAGG